CATTGTGTAGCTTTGTGCTTAATTACAAACAAACTACTACCATCAATGAATACACCTTTCCCTGTCTCACCAGCCGTGGGGGCATTATAACATGACAGTCAATACCACTACTCGTTGATAAAAGAGTAGCCCAAGAGTTAGCGGTGGGTGGTGATGACTAGCTGCATTCCCTCTAGTCTTTCACTGCTAAATTAGGAACAGCTAGCGCAGATAGCCCTCGTGTAGCTTTGCGCGAAATTTAAACCAAACAAACAAACGAATACGCCTCATGTTAAAACTGAAAAATATTGTGACTAAAACATTTTAATAAAAGTGGTAAAATTTTTTTAAAAATTTCTAGTTTCTATACCCGCGATGGACAAAGCACAAATAATTCTTTGTGTAGCTGTGCGAATAATAACAAATAAACTCTTCAAAGTCAATAGGTGAAACTTTTCTTACGGATCAAGTGAAAAATATCCGGGACAGTTCTAGGAAATACTTAACTTTCTCAAGCCCTTGTGACACTTAAAAAATCTTAAGATTGTTACTCAAGTTAAGAAATACTTGTACGTCATAGATTTCAATTCTAAATTCTGGAGATTTATGATTAACTTTAACCTTTCGCTTCTAAAAAAATTAACTTTTTATGTCATAAGCGTTCATTTGAATTGGGCTTTCTGAATTTACCTTAAGTACATCAAACTAGTATGCTAAATCTTTAAAAATGAAAATAGAATTCAAAACAAGAAAAATCGGTTTACAAGACTGGAACAGTCAAACTTGGATATAATCCATGCTTGTGCAATTTTTTTGTGTACTTTTTTTTTTTCGACAATATTTGTGTTTTACTATCAATAGGCTGCATTAACCAAGGCGAAAGTTATCTGTATTGGTTACTAACTGTTTATTTGTTTCTGAATTTCGCGCAAAGCTAAACAGAGGCTATTTGCGCATAGTCGACCCAAATTTTGAACTTGGAGCAAGTCAAAACCACCAAGCACCAACTCTTGGGCTACAATTTTCTCACCAAATAGTGAAATCTGACAATCACACTTTGGAGCACCTATGGTTCCAAAATACGAGCACGTTTGGGCGGAAATGAGTTGCGAGCCATAAATCTTCGGATTCACAGTTTGGACACGCCAACTACTTTGCCACGTCAGACCAAATAGTAATTGCAATGAAAAGGTAAAAGTAGCTTGTACACAAGAAATGGGCTTTTTTTATAAGCAAAAATAAACAAACAAAAAATTTGAACGTATATGACACAGTTAAGACGGCATCTATAACTGTAGAAAAAGCTTGGTTTTATTTATAACCAAAACTTTAGGTAACTAATAACTTTTAAAATTAATTACCTACCTAAACAGTAAATGCCATTGGGTAGTTCCACGTTCTCTGTCTTAAGTTTAAGTTAACATTTATAGTTTTATTACAAAAATTAGAACTACCCCTTAGCGGCCAAAACTCATAATTAATCTCCTTTCTCCCTGTAGCTCAGGGATTCTCAACTTTTCCTCCATCATTAACCCCCTCGGCTTGATGTATTTCTCCATTTACCCCCTTACTTCCATACAAAAAATTCATAGCCATCATAAAGGAACAGAAAAA